ACCAGTTTTGAAATAAATAGTGGCTAGGAACACCTCAGCCTGAGGACTGCAAACATTGGGAATTCCTCCCAAACATTTTCACTTCGAGGAACTGCCTGTTTCAACGATTGATCATCCTTCCCTGCTGGTGCTTTGATGCCTGATCAGCTGAGTGTGTTCTGCTGTGCTCTCGGACCCAGAGTCCTCCGGGTCGCCCATTCACCCGCTGGCTTTCACTAAAAGTTCACTTGACTCATTGCGCTGTGGTTTTTTGGACTGTCTTGGAAACCAAATGGGCACTGCTGTTTCCAAGGAGCTGTCTGTCTGTCTGTTGAATTCTCAGTCACTAGCTAGGCCACTCAAATGGGAATCCATCGATCGGCGGGGAGAGAGCAACTGGACAGATTTGCCACCGATCCGATCTTGAGTGGCAGCGGCAGGTTTCCTTTCGAGAGATCACAGTTGCGGGTGGGACCAGGGATCCGCAGAGCTGTCAGCAGAAAGTCCCTCGGTACAGGTGTGTGTGTGGGGGGGAAACCAGGTGTGGCGGTGGATGACAGGGAACCCAAAAGGGTTAGAGGGGCCAATACCTAGTGAAGCTGGAAATAGGTCCCATTCCCAGCAGGTAATCTGGAGGACCACACCAGTCATGAAATGAGATGCGCAATTATAGTGCTTTCTGACTAAAAGACCTCACTAGCCCCACCAATCAAGCCGCAGCCTCTGGATGCCAATCGCCAGGAGTTCGTGAACAACCATAGTGCTTCTGCTACCCAACCCATCCACCCCTCTCCTTTCTCTGTGCCCAGACCTGTAGTCATTAAGGAATACCCCGCATCCCAGCTTCAGCGTCTGTTGCCACCCCTTCCTCTCGGGCGGCTCTTTCACTCTTCCTTTCTGATCATTGTGCTCGTGGCAGTGTGTCCTTGTCACCTGAACTGGTATCGGTGCCTTTTCCATCGCGCTTGCATTTGACTCAGTTTCAGCTGATGTGACATCTCTTCTTCTCGGTGAGAAGACAATAGATACAATACTGAAGAGATTGTCTCACGTCTTGCCTTCACACTGAGCCTGTGCAGAGGCCTTCAGCTTGGAAATAATGTCAGGCTTATTTTCCCATATTCCACATTGCCCAAAGGCCATCAGATAGAGGAGAGGGCATGCCAGAGACGGGGGAAAGAAGTGTAATAAATACGATGGAAAGAAGGAACTAACCGATTTGGATCACCTGTTGTTCCCTTGTCCCTGGGTCTGCCAACACACTACCCTTCCCCCCACCTCCCCCTCTCCCATGTCTCCCCGGAACTGTCAGTCCTGTTTTTTTCTCCTCCAGATTGCTCATCCAGCCTATCCTATCCATCCAAATCGGTGGTGAGGAGGGTGTGGGAGGCCTGGTGGGACGTGATCAAGGGTAATGTGGCCGAAAGGAATTGCTGAGACCCTACTGAAGGCTGAACGTGATAGTGGGACAAGAGGAAAGTAAGAGGAAATAGAGGAAAGAGCTAGGAGGTAAAGGGCATTTGTTGAGGTCTTAATGCAGACATGTACATATGTGAATATATTCATATATGAGG